ACTCAAATAGCCGCTAATCCAATCACTTAAATTAAAAATAGCCGGTGGAAGTATAATATATGCATAATTTATGTATTATATGTGCATAATTATTTATAATCAATGTATAATTTATGTATATGGCTAGAAAAAGTAAACAATGAATGTGAGTAGCTATAGATCCCGCATATAGCTTAATTTTTTTTAATTTTATTTTTTAGCCCGACGGCCAAAATAATTACATGTGGTAGCCCAAAAGTACAAAATATATACATTGATTTTGTATATAATATGTATATTTATGCTTAATATACAAAACATATATATTTACCGGATGTTATTTTTTGGTCGTCACAAAAATATAATCATCCCGCTTAAATTCCAAGACATTTTTGCTGATGGCCCTTAATTATAGCATGGGCAAACCCTTTCAACAACAACAAACTGAGTATATTTCCAAATTAGAGCAATCTCAATCGTCGTATTTAGACACCAATATGTAGAAGCTTCTGGAATATTCGCCCTGTATAGTGTTACTGATGAGAATATTTTGTTTACATTTCTAAATTCTAATGATGCATGCATTTGGGACAAATATTTTTCAATTCTATAAATCAAGACTTGTAAGGACTCATGAGTTGGTGATTTGTCACTAAGTAGTAAATTATATATTTTAGTTGATGGATACTTTAAATACTCATTATATTTGGACGTCTCAATGATTTAATTATAAGGGGTCTAATCAACACAGTTATTCGTAGATCTATGCTTGTTTGGACGTGAAAAGAAGGATATCACTGCTTATAGCCTGTTTGGCCAAGTTTCTCCAAAGCAAAAAGTATTTTTTTTTTTCGGCGAAGTTTTAAGAAGAAGAAAAAATACTTTTGAGCAGAAGCAGAAACAGTTTTGGAGAAAGAGAAAAAAATAGTTTCTCTTCAAAAATCACTTTTTTGAAAAGCACTTTTGAGAAAAATACACTTAAAAGCAGTTTTTAAAAGTTTGGCTAAACACTAATTGCTGCTCAGAAGTGATTTTCAAATTAATTAGTCAAACACAACCGGTTCTCACAAAAAGTACTTTTGAGAAAAAAAAAATACTTATCAAAATAAGCTGATTTTTGCGACTTGGCTAAACCGGCTATTAATTGTCCAAAAATATTACATTTACGACTATATCTGATAATTAAGTCTTATGTTATATGCACTGATAATGTATAGATATAGTAAACCACTCATTGCCTGCAAATTCTTCTCATTGTCAGTTATTTCAGCTTATTTTTTCCAACCACATGTCATGAATTTCTATCAAAATTAAAGCCCAGAACTATTATCCGCTAAATAGTAAATACAACTACCACATGAACTATCATGTCATCTAATTTTAAACCTTTTCAATTTAAGTTTCTAGTTTTGAATATACCTGTTAACGGGCCGGGCCAGCACAATAACAGCCCGGTACAGTAGGGGTGTGGGACGGGTTGAGGGGTAGCCGGGCGGGAACGAACAATTTTTGGTAACCGGTGCCCCGGAATCCGGTTAGCCCGGTTCCCCTTTACCGGATTTTTACCGGGCTACAACCCGGTCTAGCCCGGTTACCGTTGTAACTATTTTTTTATTATTATTTATTTTTTGACGTTGCCAACGGGCAAATTCAAAAATGATTGTTGGGCAACGGTCATTTTTTGCAAAAATAGTCATTTCGGCCTACCCCTTGAGAAAATAGCCCCTCGCCCCTAATAATTGATAAATTATAATTTTAACCTTTTAAAAACTATAAATAGCCCCTCTTGTTCTCCATTTTTTCCTCACAATTTGCTCTCTTACCACTCTAATTCTCTCTCAATTCTCTCTTGATAATATTGTTTATTGCTCTTAAATTCTCAATTACTTATTATTTCAAGTTTCATCAAATATTTACTTTAATCACTACAAAATTATAATTATCAAATATCAAGTATTCAAGTGAAATCTAATATTAATATTCAATATCATCAAATATCAAGTATCAGTCTATCAACTGAAGTTTGATATCAAATTTAGTGCGGTATCCGAAATTCCGGTACACTCGTTCCATCTCTTTCTCTTCTTTGGTGTATATTTTATTTTATTATTTAAAATTATTAATTTAATTTACATAATGGATATATTTAGAGCAGCCAAAAAAATGTGTACTAGTTGGGGTGGCAGTAGTAAGAGTAAAACTTCTAAAAAATCAAGAGGTGGTGTTAGTTCTTCTAGTAGTTTTACACATATTTCTGAAAGTTCACCTAAAAATTTAAATGTAGATTATGAGCAACTTCAAGAAAATTATGGTATAGATGATAATTGAGATGATATTCAATCACCTGATAATCTTGAAACACCACTAGATACACTTGGTAATGCTAGTCAAACTCAAAATATTAGGGGTGGAGGTCGTGGTAATACAGGTAGGCCTCCCCTCCCTATTAAGAGGAATCGAAGATTAAGAAGTAAGTGTTGGAATGTTTTTGAAAGACTAGAAGAAGATAAACATTATGTAAGATATCAAATTTGTAAGGAAGCTTATAAACATGAAGCCAAAGGTAAGCAAGGGGGAACGGGTCAACTTCATAGGCACATGGTAGATAACAATCATATTGCATGGGGTGCTGATGAGGAAGGTGGGCAACAAAAACTTAACCCGGGTATTGACAGTTTAATAGGTAAATACGATATAGCGAAAGATCGGGAAGAATTAGCTAAAATGATTATTTTAGGATGGTTACCTTTTAGTTTTGCTGCTTCACCATATGATGAAGATCAAAGTCATACTGGTGCATTTATAAGTAATACTATCCATGAAGTTATATTTTACTATCTTTTAGAAAAAGTTTTGTGTATGTCATTTGATAATGCTTCTAACAACAATTCTACTATTACAATATTTAAATTGCATAAACACCCACCACTTTCTAAAATATTTCATGTTAGGTGTGCATGTCATATTTATAATTTAATTGTGAAGAGTGGCCTTGAATTATTTAGAGATGAGATCACTTTAGTTAGAAGAGCTGTTGGTGTAATTCAAGAAAATAATAGAAGTGCTAGATTAAATGCATTTAAGGAAAAATGTGTACAGTATGGACTATAGACTAAAACCAAAACTCATGCCTGAAGAAATATTAACTAGGTAGAATTATACTTATTTATTCTTAAGATATTATCATAAATATAAAATGCCTATAACTGAAGTTGCTAATTCTCACTGTACCGATCCTAACCGTTTGTTAACATCTAGAACTTGGGATGTTATTGAAGATGTAAAAGTTTTATAAAAATTTTATGTGGCTACACTTGAGTTTTCTGGAGCTTATTATCTGGAGCAAATGGTTTAGTTCATATTGCTGAAATTTCTCTTTTAATCCATAATTTGAAGAAGAAAGAAGGATATGCTTCTGTTGTTGAATCTATGCTAGATAAATTTAAGAAATATTTCTACCCAATTTCCCCTATTTATCTAATTGGTGCTATTTAAACCCTTCTATCAAAATTGCCACTTGTCGCCAATTAATCACTGTTTTATATGTTTATATGGATATTGGACCAATTGAAACTCCTGATGTTGAAACTTGTATTTCTGATCTACACAAACATTTACAAACTTTATATAACTATTATGCTAACATTGTTGATGCTTCTGCTGCTGTAGATGCAAATATTCCTTCAAGTTCAGTTTCAACATCTGTATCTGGTGCTTTGGAGGATAATGATGGTGTTTAAGATTATTTGACTTAGTCTACATTAGAAGAGCATCAACAAACCAGTAGCAGGAACATTGATGAACTTCAATTCTACTTGCAAAAGTCACCAGAGCCCCGCACAAAGGTATTTCTACCGCTGGGTTGGTGGAGGAGCAACTCAAATCAATTTTCTGTTCTTTCTGCCATGGTTCGAGACGTGCTAAATGTGTCGATTTCAACAGTCGCATCAGAGAGCGCATTTAGCCAAGCAAGGCAGCAATTAGGAGATACTCGCCATTCATTGGGCTTTGAAAATTCTAGTGTGCTTCAGAGAGTGGATAAGATCAAAACGGCGAAATCAAGGACGTAAAGAGGTAGATGAAGCGGAGGATCAAGAAATTGGAGATATAATGGTTTATGGTTCCGATTCAAGCAATGCTGGAAACCAAGAACCTCATGTTGACACGGATGAACTTATAAAAATGATGCAAAATATGTGATGTACTCTTTCTTATTTTTTATAGTTGTTGTAAACTTTTAATTTGCAAGTTTAAAAATAAAAAAATAAAATAGAACTTGAAAATTAATTTGAAGTATTATTTATTATTCAATGAAAATATAAAACGAAAGCCTTCAGAGTTTGATCCTTACATATTGGTCTTATTAAATAATTTTTTGTAGCCACTTACTTTCAATTTTAAAACTTTAAACTTTAACTTGAAAGTTTAATTCTAAGCCTTAAAAGTTTGCAAACACTTAATTATCAATAACATTGAACAAGAAAAACATAATATACTAAAAAAAAAAAGTAACCCGGCCCGCTCCGAACCCGGACGGGCCCTAATTAACCCGGATTTTTCCAACCCGGACCAGTCCGTCCGGTTAACACCCATAGTTTTGAAGCCCTCAATTATTATGAGACGATATGGCATAGTTCGCAATGAATGACAATTCATTTATAAATCTATGTATTGATAAGAGATCAATATCGATTAATATAAAAAATAAGATATAGCTTCTTTGTAATATGAAGGGACCACGAGAAATATATACATCAGATGACAAGATTGCACAAGTCAGAAGACTTGCTAAAAGAACTCAATACTTTAGACTCAAAAGTTTTCTTGGAGAAGTTATAAACTGGAGACTAGTTGCAAAAGTTACAATTGCAGATCTTTTCTCTTTAAACTAATACTGCCGGAGCTAGCTCTTCAATTATGGGTTCACCCGAACCCGAACCCAATAGCTTTAGTCCAAATAATGTATTTGTCTTAAGAAATCAATTGACTATCTACAAATTATTAATTTAGAACCCAGTAAATTAAAAAAACTAAAATCTTGAATCCATAAACTTCAAATCATGGCACCGCCTCTAAGTATATCGTAAATAATTGCCGATGCATTGTCATATTCTACAAATTTTGCCCACACAAAGAACAGGCACCATTGTCACTAGGTAAATTTTACAAACTTTTAAAGGTAGCTTCCATCTAGTGTTTACTCACATGGAAAGCATCTTACATACGTTCGTCGGCCTCAAGGCACATTGCAAGTAGACTTGCTTGAATTACAGATTGATCACTGCTCCTTGTTTCAGCGTGTTTGAATCTCGTAGACATATCCCCATGTCCAGATGGCATTTGTTAAAGCTAGGTAGACCGACTATACAGTTTGTTAGGAAATGAAAACATACTAGTTCTTTTAAAGCTCACTCGAATAGAGGCACTCATCAACAAGCTGGCGAAGATTCGGGTTCTCCATGGCAGCAGCAACCCGTTCTTTATCATTCAACTGCTTGTTAACTGCAAGAGAATGGTAATAGAAAATGTTTAAGATTGAAGTGTTTTACTTAAGAAGCTGAACCAATTCTAGAAGTTCTGAAGCTCAGAGAGGAATTTATATTTAGTGCTACATTGGCATACATCAGGAAACATAAATACTGCTTTCCGATGCTCCAGCATTTGCTCTGTTGTCCCAGAATCAGCATGCCATAGACAACTGCACAGAGCTTATATGATTTCCTTGGTAGAATAGAATGTATTTTGCAAGTTAACTTGTCATGGCCTGTTTTGTCTTCGTGAACAGACTCACTAGTCCGTATTTTCAACTCAGTGGAGAAGGTAATAAGTCATAACACAAGGATAGAAAGATTTGTCAACCCCCATTTATCAGATCGTACTATAAATGGGAAGCATCCATGTTTAACGATTCAATGAAGCTAATAACAGACGAATTCAGTCAGGACTTGTATTGCAGCAATTAAAAATTAAATTTCCACCAATAAAATTTAAAAAGTCAAATTCAAAAAAATAATGAGGTACTCTAAATTAACTCTACCTGAGTCTTCATCCGCATGAGATCCAGGAGCCACTTTTATATCTACCTGTCACACCACAAAAATAAGCACTTCAGAGGAAATCAAACATAGAAGTTGTGCAGATCTGAATCACTATAGTTGTGCACCTTGTCGTAGAAGTCAATCTTAGAATAGCACGATCTTAATTATCTTCCAGGACTCATCGAATGCAGCGAACATAATTTGAGGAGAGCTTATGATGTATATAATAAAAGCAATCATTATCACAATGACCTATCATTGTATTTTGTTTTTTGTTTATTATGTTTTCAAGTTAAAGATAAAATCTTATCTATTATATGAGAGTCCTAATTATGTGAAAAGCTCTAACGGGGATTCAGAACTCCTATTATTAATAAGATCTTAATATACTTTGTGTAGACCACTTGAAAACTTGAGGATGAACTTTATGAATAGATCTCTCTATCTCCCCTTTAACTTTCTTTTTAATCTTCTTGAGAAGGTAAGAATCTCTCCTCTTCACCTGCTCACTACCTATCTGATTTCTTCCTCTTAACCCTCTCCAATCTTTTTTCTGATAACTGTGGTGTCTGGACTAGCTTGCGCACACCTCGACTAATTCCACGAGGTGCCAGCTACCTCCCACCATCACAGGTACTGGGTCTCTTAACTCTCTGCAATCAGCGGTTCATCCAGTGTTCCATATGTTAGATTTCAGCTCAGTCCAATTGGACAAAGATTTGACTTACGAGGAAGAGCCGGTGGCTATTCTAGCCCGGCAGGTCCGACAGTTGAGGTCAAAGAGTTATCCTTCAGTTCGGGTGCAATGGAGAGGCCAGCCGGTAAAGGCATCTACCTGGGAGTCCGAGTCGGACATGAGGAGTAAATATCCACACTTATTCACCAGCTCAGGTACTTTTTTTTCTAACTTCGTTCGAGGACGAACGGTTGCTTTAGAGGTGGAGAATGTGATGACCCAAAATATCATCTTTAAATTTAATAAGTAATTCTGTGTTCTGAGACCTCGAAAAGCACTATTTATCATTCCTCGACTTGCGTGCGCAGTCCGTATAATTTTCCGGAAAGTTTTTATGTAAAAAATGGATTAAAATGTGAAATAGAGCTTTAAAACTCAACTAAGTTGACTTTGGTCAACATTTTGAGCAAACGGACCCGGATCAGTGTTTTGACAATTCCGGTAGGTCCGTATCGTGATTTGGGACTTGGGCGTATACCCAGAATCGAATTCCGAGGTCCCTAACCCGAGATATGGAATTTTGATGAAAAATTAAAAGTTTGAAAGTTTAATGATTTCTAAGAAATTACTGATGTTGGATTTATTGACCCCGGGTCCGTATTTTGGTTCCGGAACCCGGTATAGGTCCACTATAATATTTATGACTTGTCTGCCGAATTTGGTGAGAATCGGAGTTGATTTGACGTGATTCGGACGCCCGGTTGTAAAGATATAAGTTTTAAATTTTTATTGAAAATTTCCTTTGATTTGGTGTCCGATTCGTAGTTCTTGGTGTTATTTTGGCGATTCGATTGCGCGAGCAAATTCGTATGATGTTTTAGGACTTGAGTGCATGTTTGGTTTGGAGCCCCGAGGGCTCGGGTTGGTTTCGGGTGGTTAACAGATCATTTTTGGACTTGAGGAAACTGCAGAAACCTGCTTCTGGTTTCCTTCTTCGCGTTCGCGAGGGGAGTCTCGCGTTCGCGAAGAGCAAATTGGGGCTGGCACATTTTGTGCTTCGCGTTCACGACAGAGAGAACGCGTTCANAAAACGAAAAATTAAGATTTGAAGGTCCATTTGATATCGGAATTGGACAAATTTTGTATGGTTGGACTCGTATCGGAACGGGTGTTCGGATTTCGCAAGTTTTTCCGGGATTTGAGATGTGGGTCCCACTGCCAAATAATTTAATGAATTTTGAATTTTTATCCGAAAAATTTGTAAATTCATATGGAATTAATTCCTATGA